CATGGCCATATAGCCCAGAAAAACCTACAACAACCCAGTGATTCTGGCCATGAAAGCCTTCGACAATACATACAAAATTAGCTTCTTACCAAAAGATTGATTAACATTTAAGGCATGTTTTCACCCTTAGGAGTTAAACATAGATGTAGCTGATGTGGAGAGCTTGCTTGTGCAGTGTATACTCGATAAGTAAGTATTTTTCTTCCTTTCCCTTTTGAGCAGTCACTATTATAGGTGCTTCATTCTAAAGGGTTTATTTATGGTGCAGATGGAGTAATCAGCAGCTGTTCCCCAAAAACATTGCTGTAGGTTGGAAGAAAGTTATGTACACTTACAGACACTGGATGCCTAACATTGATATTGTATAAAATATATACTCATAAATTGTTTGTAGTGATTCCACTACAGCCCCCAGTGGTGCAGCGGGTTAAACCACTGAGCTGCTGAATTTGCTGACCAAAAGGTCAGCGGTTCAGATCTGGGGAGCAGGATGAGCTCTCGCTGTTAGCCCCAGCTTCTGCCAACCTAGCAGTTCAAAAACATGTAAATGTGAGTAGATCAATAGGTACTGCTCCAGTGGGGAGGTAACAGCACTCGATGCAGTCATGCTGGCTACATGACCTTGGAGGTGTCTACGGACAATGCTGGCTCTTTGGCTTAGAAATGGAGATGAGCACCAACCCCTATAGTTGGACATGACTGGACTTAATTTCAAGGGCAAACCTTTACCCTTACCTTTACATAGTGATTCCACTTATATTCGGAAATGTTGTGTGACCCATCCTCTGTAACAAACAAAGTCCCCGGGGATTTTTTTACATCATTTCAATTTACTCTATAAATATGAATTTTAACATTGATTCAGAGACTGCAGATTCGAAATCACTCTAGTCATAGCAGCCAGACATCCATAAAATACATAAATCTCCGGTGAGTCCTGCTGTTAAGTTGACTTTGTACTTTCAATTTCTTCCAAGTTTTCTATTTGTTTTTTAAAAATAAAAAATAAATAAATAATAAAATTAGGTGTTTTGGCTTATATTCGGGTTGACTTATACTCAAGTATATATGGTATATAAATTCAATGCAATTGAAAAAGACCTTAGCTAATTTTGTTTATATGTGAGCTGTTCAGTTCTTTCACTGAAAACTAAAGCAGCGTTTCTTTGCTCAAGTTCTCCTCCCTCAAGAACTATTAATCTCTGATCGCTAAGACAAATAGCCATGTGCGCAGTTCCTGTGTATTGGTCTTTGACTTCTCTACAATGAGCCTCTCACACACAACTCTTTGTTAGCCAATGGATTTTTACTGGTAATGACATATGACCTCAGCCCCAGTTCTTCAGCATTCATAGGGGTTGTATGTACTCTGTGTTGTCCTGGGGCACGTTTGAACACGTATTTTTCTCTTTCTTTCTCATTTTAGCACTATTCATGGCCGAATCGATCAAGTCAATCAACTCCTTGAGCTAGATCATCAGAAGAGGGGCGGAGCACGGTATACTGCGCTAGATAAATGGACCAACCAACTAAATTCTCTCAACCAGGCCGTAGTCAGCAAGCTGGCTTAACCACGAACAGGCTCTTTCGAAATGTACTTAATACAACAGCGCAGTGATGTAAACCTTAAAAACTGGGAATGGCAAAACTCCTGTCGGTTGGTGTGCCCTGAAATTATTGGAGTTAATGGCAGAAGTGCTTTTTTGATCAGCTGGTTTGTGTTTTGCTGCTGCATTTATCCCACGAAAAAACAAAACAGCTTTAATCTCCAGAAGAAAACCAAAATGCCATGGGATTTATGCTGTGTTGACATCTTGCCCTCACCATGCAACACCCTCATAGTATGTCAAGGGGCAACTAATGACGAGAGAGAGAGAAAGAGAGAGAGAGAGAAGGTTTTGTTTGTCATGATTTTAAATACACTGACACGTTCCTGTTGGTTTAAATTTAAACATATTTTACCTGCAGAAAAAAAAGATCTCTCACACAGAAAAAAAAATTAACCTGCAATAACTTGAAACGCATACCCTTTTGAACACTTCCTTTTTCTCATGTATAAACCGAAATGTTTGCTGCATTTTGCAAAATGTCAATTCTCCAAAAAATGTGTCCGTATATTTCTGTACCTGCAGTGTAGTCAAGGTTTAGAAGAAACCCCGTAATTATGGTGGCATACTGTCACTTAGGTTTCAAGCAGCAAAAATAAACAGTGCAGTTCAGAAATGGTAGTTTTTTGCTTCTTTATGTGTTTTTCGTTATGATTGGGTGCATTTGAGAAAATCAGGAAGAGAGTGATTGCCTCTGACATTAACTATAATAACACCGTAAAAGACATCAGGTAACAGCACACTTATTTAGGCGATCTCCCGTTGTCCGAGTAGGATTGTCTTCCAAGATCGATGTACTGGCAGTGGGTCCGTAGGTGACTGTGGAGGCCTATTCTTGACCTGCATGTTGACCAGGTGGAAGGCGGTCCCGGTCAAGATTGGCGTGCTGCGCCTTCCTCTTGGCACGTTTCTCTCTTTCGCCCTCCATTCATGGCTCTTCAAATTCTACAGCACTGCTGGTCACAGCTGACCTCCAGCTGGAGCGCTCAAAGGCCAGGGCTTTCCCAGTTCTCAGTGTCTATGCCAGAGTTTTTAAGGTTGGCTTTGAACCCATTTTTAAATCTCTTCTTCCTGTCCACCAACATTCTGTTTTCTGTTCTTGAATTCAGAGTAGAGTAACTGCTTTGGGAGACGTTGGTCGGGCATCTGGACAACGTGGCTGACCCAGAGGAGTTGATGGCGGAGGACCATCACTTCAATTCTGGTGGTCTTTACTTCTTCCAGCACGCTGACATTTGTCCACTTGTCTATCCAAGAGATTTGCAAGATTTTTTGGAGGCAACGTTGATGGAGTCGTTCCAGGAGTTGCATGTGACATCTGTAGACAGTCCACGTTTCGCAGGCATACAGCAGGGTTAGGAGGACAATAGCTTTGTAAATAAGAACCTTGGTCTCCCTATGGATGTCCCAGTCCTCAAACACTCTCTTCTTCATTCGGGAAAAAAGCTGCACTCGCAGAGCTCAAGTGATGTTGTATTTCAGTGTCAATGTTGACTTTTGTGGAGAGGTGGCTGCCAAGGTAGCAGAAATGGTCAACATTTTCTAATGTTACACCATTAAGCTGTATTTCTGGCATTGGAGAGGGATTGGCTGGTGACTACTGGAAGAGCACTTTGGTTTTCTCGATGTTCAATGACAGACCAAGCTTCTCGTATGCTTCTGCGAAGGTGTTTAGAGTGGCTTGTAGGTCTTCTTCTGAATGCGCACAGACGACATTGTCATCAGCATATAGGAGGTCTATAACATGTTCTAACCTTGGTTTTGGCTTTCAGTCAAGTTCAGTCTATATTAAGGTTTTATTACAGGCATGGGCAAACTTCGGCCATCCAGGTGTTTTGGACTTCAACTCCCACAATTGTGGAGTTGAAGTCCAAAACACCCGGAGGGCTGAAGTTTGCCCATGCCTGGTCTATTATGTGAGGTTTGGAAATGAGCCCAGTTTTCCTTTACTATTGGCCTTTACTTGCTCATCTGTAGTCAGGCTATTAAATTACTTGACTGTTCCATACATTATTTCGTTCTGTCAGCATCTTACTTACTTATGTGATCCCTCATTTTCTGAGGATGATGGTCCTCCAAGTGTAGTGTCTTAGTGGTGGATACGTAGGTGACTGTGGAGCCCTATTCTTGATCCGCATGTTCTCCCGCAGTGAGGACATTGGTTTCCAGGTGGAATGCGGTCCCGGTCAGGTTTGGTTTGATGCGCCTTCCTCTTGGCATGTTTCTCCCTCTCGCCGTCCATCCATGCCTCTTCGAATTCTGCAGCACTGCTGGTCACAGCTGACCTCCAGCTAGAACACTCAAGGGCCAGGGCTTCCCAGTTCTCAGTTTCTGTGCCACAGTTTTTAAGGTTGGCTTTAAGCCCATCTTTAAATTTATTTTCCTGTCCTCCAACATTTCATTTTCTGTTCTTGAGTTCGGAGTAGAGCAGCTGCTTTGGGAGACGGTGGTCGGGCATCCGGAAAATGTGGCCAGTCCAGCAGAGTTGATAGCATAGGAGCATTGCTTCAGTGCTGGTGGTCTTTGCTTCTTCCAGCATGCTGACATTTGTCTGCCTGTCTTTCGAAGAGATTTTCAAGATTTTTCGTAGGCAGCGCTGATAGAATTGTTTCAAAAGCGAGTGTGATGTTCAGCAGTGGAACTCTTTGCCCCAGAGTGTGGTGGAGGTTCCTTCTTTGGAAGCTTTTAAACAGAGGCTGGATGGCCATCTGTTGGGGTGCTTTGAATGCAATTTTCCTGCTTCTTGGCAGGGGGTTGGACTGGATGGCCCATGAGGTCTCTTTGAACTCTGTGATTCTATGTCTGTAGACAGTCTACGTTTTGCAGGCGTATAGCAGGGTTGGAAGGACAATAGCTTTCTAAACAAGCACCTTGGTCACCCTATGGATGTCCCAGTCCTCAAAGAGCAGCACCCTACACTTCTCTTTCTATTAGAGAAGTACAGTAACTATGAATGGCATACCTATATAGGTATTTTTGCTAGCCACGACCCACGAGTGTAGAATAGGATTGCAAACAAGTTTCAGCTGAATATTGATAGTTGATTAATAAATCATAATTTGTTTTGAAGAGGCGGTGTCCTTGTGGAAGATGAAGGAGATATTCTTAGGTGTCTGCCATTATGAGAGTGAATTAGTATTATCCCATTAATGGTGATTGTTCAACACCTTGGCCAACTGCACTGAACACATTTCACAAGTGTTTTGATTTCCCTCCCACATCAATCCAGCAATGTTGATTTCATAATTTCACTGACACATCACACTTTCTTAAGAGGTCAAGGGCATAGGTCATATGTGCAATTGTTTTGGGACATGACAGAATTTGACTTGTTCATATTGGTTTTAGATAAAGGTGGATTATGATGGATATAGTAGTAGTTGAGTTCCCCCCGGTGGCACTCAACTACTGAACCTGCTGATCAAAAGGTCTCAGGTTCGAATCCGGGGAGCGGCGTGAGCTCTTGCTGTCAGACCCAGCTTCTGCCAACCTAGCAGTTTGAAAACATGCAAATGTGAATAGATCAATAGGTACCGCTCCGGCGGGAAGGTAACGGCGCTCCATGCAGTCATGCTGGCCTTGGAGGTGTCTATGGACAACGCCGGCTCTTCGTTTCAGAAATGGAGATGAGCACCAACCCCCAGAGTTCATGTGCTGGTGACAATCCAGCACATGAAGGCAAACTAAAGAGATCTCAGTAGGTTCAAAGGACTTCAAATTCCAGCTTGTGCTTTAGATGTGGTCAGAAAAATTCTAAGTAAAGTAAAGGTAAAAGTTTCCCCTTGACATTAAGTCCAATGGTGTATGACTCTGCGGAGTGATGCTCATCTCAATTTCTAAGCCGAAGAGCCAGCGTTTTCTGTAGACATCTCCTAAGACCTGTGGCCAGCATGACTGCATGGAGCGCCATTACCTTCCCACCGAAGTGGTATCTATTTACTCACATTTTATATGTTTTTGAACTTCTAGGTTGCCAGAAGCTGGGGCTATCAGCAGGAGTTCACTCTGATCCCTGGATTTGAACCGCCGACTTTTGAGTCCGCAATTTCAGCAGTTCCGCAGTTTAACCCATGGCGCCACCGGGGGCACCTATGGGACCTTAAATAGTTTCATGAGTAACAGGCAATTTTATTAATGTTTAGGAGGGTTGATAGGGTATAAATACCAGGGTTGAATGAAAAGTAATGCCCCCACCTTCATAACTCCTCAACAGATGGCAGTACTTGTATGTGGCAGGTACTGGCTTGTTCAGTAGACTGTCCTCTACAGTTCCATTTGGTGGGAAGCCTTAGCATTGAACGGTTGTGTTGTTAAAGTGTGAAGTGTGGAACCCTGCGCAGACAGTCGGTCAGTGTGACTTAAGCAATGTGCAGTCATTGAATTCTTGACAGCAAAAAGGTGTCACCCCAAAGGAGATTCATCAGAGAATGCAAGCTGTTTATAGTGATTGTGTTGATGTGAGTATTGTGCAATGTTGGGTGAGAAAGTTTAAAGATGTTGAGGTGGGAACATCTGACTTGCGTGACAGAGATGGATGTCCTGTGACAGCAACCACCGAGTTTCACAAGCAAAAGGTTGACAGATTGATTCAGGACAATCGTATCACTCAGAGAGAAATTTCAAGCATAATTGGCATTTCACAAGAACGTGTGGTTCACATTATTGTGAAATAATGATCTGTACACAATGTGTACCCAGGATGCTGATGCCTGAAATGAAAGCGCACAGACTTGAAAATTCAGAGACTGGATCTCACCACCATACGACATTCTCCATACAGTCCAGATTTAGCACTGTCTGACTTCCATCTGTTCCCGATAATGAAAGAAAATGTACGAGGACATCATTATGCTTCTGACGAAGATGTTGAGAGAACTGTGAGATGCTGGTTGTGGTAACAGAGTGTCGTTGGCAGAAATGTATCCAATTGTCTGGTGATTATGTTGGAAAGGGAATAGTGGTAGTTAAAGAGTACATTCTAAGGATTATTTCTGCGTTTGATTTATTAAAATATTCCCATCCAAACCCAAGTGAAGAAGGTGGAGGCATTACTTTTCATTCAACCCTCGTAGCTTCAGCCTGAGGATTAGAATCGGTCCTTGTATCTTCAGTTGTGTATCTGTATATAATCAAATCTTAAGACTCTGCTATACATAATGTGCAATCCTTAGTAAGTTCCATTATAACAAATTATACAGAAGAATACATGCATTTAGGAGTGCCACCTAATGAGTCCAAAAACAATCCTTGACTAACTTAGCTTTTGTTGCATTGCCATTGCTGAGCTGGCAAACATCGCTCAGAAGAGGAGTGTTTGGAATTCAACTCTGCAAGCTGGAATCTCAATAGCCCTCCTACAGAAGAACTGAAGCAATGTCCCAGAGGCCACACACTGTGCTCACAGTTCTGCTGTTTGTAGGCATGGATGTGTTCTGGGCCAAACTTGATTCTATTAATCTGCATAACAGATCAATGTTTTGCCCTGGGCGATCACAGTGCCCAGCTACCAATTCAAGTCAAGCCTAAATACCCGATCATGGAAACTCACCAGGGTCAAATCTGGTTTGTACTTGGTGGGGAGACCGCCAACGAATATCTGGCATCATAGGCGGAATATCTCG